ATGGTTCAACGTCAGGTAATTCCCTTCCTTTGATCATGGAGGGACCTCTGAATTGTTTGGCATAACACAATATGAAAAGCATCGCAACACCTCACCATCTGTGGTGAACTAAACAGTGAATATTAGTGAACCCGAAATGTCAACTTTCCTGCTCCTCTGATGCTGCTTGGCCTGCTGTGTTCCTCCAGTTCCACGCTGTATTGACTCTGACTCCAGCATCTGCAGTTCTTGCTATCTCTGAGTGAACATTACTCATAATTTTGCAGGTCTAGCTGTTTTGTGTACAAATATATTGGTTTCATACCCATCTGGGATATTCATTTCTGAGGTTTAGTCCCTAAATCAAGAAGTCTGGTTAGCAAATTGCCTGAAACACACACAAAAAAAAAAGTACATGGTCAAGTACTCAGAAATGGTAAGAACTGCCATTTCTGAAGAAGGGTCCCCGACCTGAAACATCAGCTTTCCTGCTCCCCTGATGCTGCTTGACCTGTCGTGTTCCTCCAGCTCCACACCATATTATCTCATGGGTCAAGAACTAATTTTATTTGGCTTGAATTCAGGAAAACCATTTTAAAAAAAGGTGTGGAAAATAGAATCAGCTTTCCTAAAAAAGTAGTTTTTATTTTGCAACACGAATTTGAGGAGAGACAGAGAGAGAGAAGCAACATGTTTCTGACTTGCTGAGCATGGGATTAGCCCAAAGGAAAGAGAAACACTCAGCAGTGACTGTGGCTAGTGGAGAACTCTGCTTGCCCCTTCATACCTTTTTTGAAAATGTGTCTTGATCATGGTTTAAAGGGAAGCGTAAGTGCCCCGCTTCTTAAAGGGGAAATGTATTGATTGGGTGATGCACCTGAAGGCAGTCCCTTTCTGGCAGTTGGTGATTCACAGATTCATACAGTACAGAAAAGGCCCTTCGGTCCATCAAGTCTGCACCAACACCAATTTCCTGCATGTGTCCCATATCCCTGAATATTACGATATTTTAAGTACTCATCCAAATATTTTTTAAAAGGTTGTAAGGTTTCTAGCTTTCACTACCTTCCCAGGCAATGCATTCCAGATTCCCACCACCTGCTGAGTGAAAACATTTTTTCCTCATATCCGCTCTGAATCTTCTGTCCCTTATGCTAAAATTTTACCTCCTCGTGATTGACCCCTCAACCAAGGGAAACAGCTGCTCTCTATTCACTCTGTCCCTACCCTTTGTAATCATTTGCACCTTAATCATATCTCCCCTCAGCCTTCTCTGCTGTAAAGAAAACAATCCAAGCCGATCTGGTCTGTTCTTATAGCTCAATTTCTCCATCCCAAGCAACATCCTGGTGAACTTCCTCTGTACCCCTTATGATGCTATCACATCCTTCCTGTGGTGAAGTGACCAGAACTGTACACAATACTTCAGTTGTGGCTTGACCAACACTCTGTACAACTCCAGCATTACCTCCTTGCTCTTATACTCCATATCACGACTGATGAAAGCAAGTGTCCCATATGTCATAACAATCCTATTCACGTGCTCTCCCAACTTCAGGGATCTGTGAATAATTACCCTAAGATCCCTCTGTTCCTCTAAGCTATGCAGTGTCCTGTCATTCATTAAATACTCCTTCATCTTGTTTCTTCTTTTAAAGTGCATTGCCTTGCACCTATCAGGGTTAAATGCCATCTGCCACTGGTCTGCCCATCTTACTAACCCATCTATATCTTCTTGTAACCTGCAAGCATCTTCTTCACCATTACCACTCTAACAATCTTGGTGTCATCTGCAAATTCGCTTAACATTCCCCATCACATTTTCATTGATATAATTTATGTATATAACAAACAATAACGGTCCCAGTACTGATCCTTGTCATACATTGCTGGACACTGGACTCCAGTCACTCAAGCAGCCTTCTACCACTACCCTTTGTGTCCTATTACTGAGCCAGTTTCTGATCCATCTCGCCAAGTTTCCTCAATTCCAAATACTTTAACATGCTCAAATCAGTCTCCCATGTGGGACCTTGTCAAAACCTTTGCTAAAATCCATAAAACTACATCAACTGAACTTCCTTCATCCACCCACTCAATCACATTTTCCAAAAATTCTAACAAATTTGTTAGGCATGACCTCCTTCTGATAAAGCCATATCACCAATTAACCAATGCCTTTCCAAGTGGGTATTAATTCACTCATTCAGAATTTTCTCCATTAGTTTCCCTATCACTAATGTGAGACTCACTGGTATGTAATTTCCTGGCTTATCTCTACCACCCTTCTTCAAAAATGAAACCACATTCGCCATCCTCCAATCTACTGGCACATCCCCCGTGGCCAGGCAGCAATTAAAAATTTGTGTCAGAGCCCTTGCAATTTCTTGCCTTGTCTCCCATAGCAGCCTGGACCAGGGGGGCTTAAGACCAACAGAGCCTCCAATATCTCCCCACTTCCTATGACTAACCATGCAAGTTCCTCACAGTCCTTCTTCCTGAATCTCTTACCTACGTTCTCCTTTTCCAAAGTGAAGACCAAAGAGAAGTACTCATTAAACACCCTTCCAATATCCCGTGGCTTCACACACAGGTTGCCTCCTTGGTCCCTAACAGGTGATGTCAGGGTTTTGCTGGGGTTACTGTTGGAAGCTGAAGCAGAAGCAGGGAATGACAGAGTCAGTGAGAGAGAGGGAGGGAGGAGGGAATCTGCTGGAATCGAGCCAACACAAGGAATCCCAAGTGTCTGCTTTCAACCATGACCAACCTGCAACAAGTCAACTGCAAACCATCAGGCAAGTAAGGAGCGATCATATAGAGACACATGCACGTTTTGTGTTCCTCCTCGCTTAGTAAGAGCCACAATGCTGGAGAGCAGATAAAAGCTTTTTGTACAAAAATGTGTAAAAGAGATTGCAGACAGTGGGGTGGGGGGGGGGGGGGGGGTGCTGTGTGTGTGTATGTGTGTTGGGGTGGGGAGCAGTCGTGGGGAAAGCCCATTTGTCTTCATGTGCAAACCCAGGGAGGGAGAGAGGAAAAAGAGAGTGCGCGAATAGACAATAGGACCTCCAGGTTCCACCTTGGTTCGTTAAAAGTCCACCCCTCCTATAAGAAAAGCAGGTTTTTTTTCTTAAAATGGAATGGGTGCTACGTGCAGCTTGCCACTACTCCCCTCAAAGTATGACCCAATCCATCCATCCAGCACTCAAGACTTTCATTATAAATGCTCGTGTCATTGGTGCCAGAAAGCAAAATGTGACTTCTGCTAAAGTGGCTTCATTAGTTCGTATATATCCGTTTCTCATAACGTTTATAAAACAGGATGCCAGCTTCTACCCTGTGCCAATTTACGATGGGATCCACAGGTCATAAGCATATTTCCTCCCTGCTGTAGTGTTGAGGTTGTACAGGATGTTGGTGAGGCCTCTTCTGGAGTATTGTGTCCAGTTCTGGTTGCCCTGTTATAGAAAGATTATTATTAAGCTGGAGATGGTTCAGAAAAATAATTACCAGGATGTTGCCCAGAATGGAGGGTTTGACTTATAAGGAGAGGCTGAAGTAGGTTGAGGGATGACCTTATAGAGGTTTTTAAAATCAGGAGGGTTATAGATAAGATGAATGGCAGCTATCTTTTCCCTAGGGTGGGGGGATTTCAACTAGGGTGGGGGGATTTCAAGACTAATGGGTATATTTTTAAGGTGAGAGGAGAAAGATTTAAAAAAGACATGAGGGGCAACTTTTTTTTTAAAAAAAGGTGGTACGTGTGTGGAATGAATTTCCAGAGGAAGTGGTGGATGCAGGTACAGTTACAATGTTTAAAAGACATTTGGATAAGAATAGGAAAGATTTGGAGGGATATGGGCCAAACGTAGGCAAGTGGGACTAGTTTGGTTTGGGTTTGTGGTCGACGTGGACTGGTTGGATCAAATGGTCGGTTTCCGTGTGTATGACTTTGTAAATAACTCCCCAGTAAACTAATTAATTAGATTTTGTTTAAATAAAAGGAGTTGGAGAAAATTCATTTTTCCAACTCTATCACACGAGCCCAATGGATTGTGAGCTGTGGGGACGAAGCAATCCCCATGTTCCTGCGATACTCTGCTATCGATCATTTTCCAGCGCGGAGTCTTTTAAAATAGATGAACAACAAACAAGGCAAGCCAACCAGTATCGCCTCGACATGTTTGTTTACCAACTCAACCCGGTCTGTAGGCACTCGCTTGCGACCGGTTTTTTTTTAAATCGTCTCCGAAATGGGTTTCATAGAAAGTTTGAGGTTTGAAAATCATCAATCGCATTATCGCCTCTAGTGGGTGAGTTTGATATAGGCACAGCAGCTGCCCAGCCTCGTCACTGGAACAGAGAACACGCTTCTCAGTGACACAGCCGCATAGTGTTTCCGTCCTCAGTCGATGTCACCACTGGACCCTAAGTGCTCATTCGATTACAAAGCGCAATTCTTCTTCTCGTTCCCCTACCACCCTCCCCCAAAGTCACCGGCTCAGAAATCAATTTGACAATCGTCGCACTGTCATGTTAGCTGAAGTTTTACTCTAGGATTCAAAGCTTCTCCTTCCCAGCATCCACCTTCACTATCCCACTTCCCCCTTTCCCCAACCCCAAAAAAACGTCTCAACCGGCATCATTTCTGCAAAGCGATGCTGTCGTGAGGAAACGAGAGTTTTAAGTTTTAGTGAGTTGGCACACAATGACATATTATTAATTAGTGATCGCCTGGACGGTCTATGACAACCGTTCCATTTTCTTATCGCTTTGCCGACACACATTAATATAATTTATTAGATTAGTTTCCAATTACATTTTCGGACAACCAGTGCTTTTAGCCTCTAATTCTGAGGCAAATGAATGCATTGGACAGTCAGAAAATTGGCTCTCATTGTATATCCCCATCTTACAAACCTGTGGAATTAAGAAGCACCGATTATACCGTGCTTCATATAGTCATAAAAGCACACATAAACGTACACATTTCGGAAGTTTTGTTGAAGAGAACGACCAACCTGAATCAGGACAGGAAACCATCTGGAATGAGCTCATCCTCTTCTGTGAGACCTGGAAATTAACACGTTTGCTCAGTTTGACATCAAAGGACAATAAATATTTGCACACAGTTTACAACTTTTTTTACGGTAAATGAAAAATGTGATAACTGCGTCCAGAGATGGAATCTTATCTCATTGCATCCCAAATATTTGACTGTTTCGATTACCTTGCTCTTTGGAGACAAAACGATTAAACTGTACCCAAAATAAATGTTCTGTGAAAATCAATCTCCTCGCAGAAGTATTCACATACACTGTCTCAAGCACAAAACAGGCATTTTCCAAATTGGTTTAAATTATACTATAGGTGTCTATAGAACACTGCCAGTTTTACACCATCGCGTCCCAAACATTCCAGTCACATTTTTGACAGAAAGGCATACGGATTTGTTTCTCCACTGATAAAGCGAAGTGTATATTCTTTCAAGTCTATTAATAATGGATTATATTTTACCAGCTGAACGTAACACAAGAATTCCCTGCGTTCCTGTTCTTATTCCTCGACTTGAGTCGATTCTTCCGTGCAAATAATATACTCTGGCGCTCATGTTTGTATGAAAACTAATAGTTAGCCTTTTGATCCCATTGAACTTCCCCAGTATTTCACTTGGAGATAGTACTTGTATTCGTTCGGCTTGTGCACGTTAAAGCCATTCGTTTCAACAAGCTTATGCACGTGTTCTTACCGAAGTCGCCTATCGCATTACTTCATCTCACCTTATGCAAATATCTTCCTTTCTTTAATGCGTTTACTTAACATGCCCTTAAACTTTTGAATTTGCCACTTTTATGATTACATGTTGGAAGAATAACATCTCATACTCTTTTACAGACTTTTTTTTAAAAAGATGTCAAATACATTCACAAAACAATTAGATTTTCCCATCGCGATCACATGTAACGATCTGGACATTAGTAGAAGACAGCTCACGTTTCAAGACCGTAAGTGTTTGTTTTAGGTGAGGGAGGCCTGAGCCAACGGTTCAATTCTATTGCACATTTGAAAGTGTCTGTAGTTGGCGAGGTAGACGGCGCTGTGAGCATGGTGCGAGGGCTCAAGTTTCTGCGGGTCTATTTAAAAAAATGCTGTACGCAGGAACACACCTGATAACTAGCGACGTCTCGCCTGCTTGCCTACAGCAATTCGATCAGCTAGTGGAAACAAACCATCTAGTCAGGTACGTTCGGAAGTTATCTTTTCGACCCTCCACCCACTTCTCTCCCGCCCCAATACTTCCCTCATTTCTGAAGAAGGGTCTCGACCCGAAACGTCAGCTTTCCTGCTCCTCTGATGCTGCTTGGCCTGCTGTGTTCATCCAGCTCTACACCTTGTTATCTCCAATACTTCCCTCACCGGACTTTCCAGTGTACACATGAACTCCTGCAACTGCAGATGCGCGTTTAGGGAGATGTTCTCCACTGCTGTCCGCACACAGTACACTACTCGAAACAGACAGTCGGGAGTGTTAGGTGAGTGAGAGACAAGGAGTAGCGAGGCGATTGCTGACATGCTTTCAGTCTTTTTCGTTGTGCTGTTCGGCCGAACGAAAGTAATCTCATCACAGATCGTAACGAGGTTAACGAACGCGCTACCGAAAGATCAGCTGTGGTTCGCCGGCCGCTGTACAGTGAGCAGCCATCACTCGCACGTTTACGGCCGACCTCGTTTAAACGTCAGATACAATAGCTCTACAGTCTTCAAATAAATCAGCCAAACCACGAGTTGATCTGGGAAGAAACATGCTGTATAGTGAATTCACAACGCATGTATGGTTAACCCTATTTGAAACGTGAGATAACAAGGTGTAGAGCTGGATGAACACAGCAGG